AAGCCCCAAGGAGGCCCCTAGGAAGCCCCCAAGATGCCTCAACTCTTGGCCCAAGATGCCTCGGGGCGGCCGGATATGGCCTGCAGGCAGGCCAAGGTGCCACCAAAAGTCCACAAAAGAGTACCACGTGGTACGATAACAGCAACGACGCAACAGGAACGATGTCGAGCGCCGTGTCATGATTCGGACAAGCCTCGTGAAATGCAGTCCTGGAGGCGCAATAGTTTATATAAGGGGTCGGCGGATGTGGCGTAAGCCTATATCATCCACGTCCGGAGGTGACGTGCTGAGCGGCAGCGTTTTCTACGGAGGCGATAATGCAACGTATCCAATGTATCCAAAGATTGCATACTTGCAACATGTTGTATTGTGTTACATTATCATGTATCCCCCCTACCCCCCCCCCAGCGCTACGCCACATCCACCGACCCAGGCTGACGACCCCCTCCTGGGGCTCAAATACTTACCAAAACCTATAGAAAACCAATGATTTCGGCGTCTTGGGCCTCCACAATGACGGCCCAAGAGGGCCCCAAGAGCGCCCACAACTGCGCCTCCAGATGCCACAATCATTAATTTTCCTACGGTTTTGGCGATATTTCAGCGTTCTCGCCTTTGCGGCCCAAGCAGCTTCCAAAATCGCCCCAGAACAACCAAAAAAGTCCCCAAGAGGGCCCCAAGACGACCCAAGAGGGCCCCAAGAGGGCCCAAAGAGGCCCCCAAGACGGTCCAAGAGGCCCCTAAGACTGCCCAAGAGGGCCCCAAAGCGGCCGCGAGAGGCCCCCAAGACGGCCTCCAAAGGGGCGAAACGGCAGAACAACACCCCAAGACGGCCCAGGACGCCCCCAAGAGGCCCCAAGATGCCCCCAAGACGCCCCCAAGGGGCCCCAAGAAGCCCCCCAAAGGCCTCCAAGAAGTCTCCAAGAAGCCTCCAAAAGGCCCCATAGCTGTCATCTCCCCCCCCTGGGCGAATTGCGGCGCAGCGCCAGCCAAGTGGAAGTTGGTCACGGCGGCGCCCATGATTAGTGCTGGCGCTGGAAGGGGATATGGGGAGGGAGTATGAAACGGAGGGAAGGGGGAGAGGCCCCAAAGACGTCCCCAAGGCGGCCCAAGACGCCCCCACGAAACTCCCGAGAACCCCCAAAACGACTTCACTGTACGTACTCCGGACGTGCACCCCGCGAAGCGAGAGGAATCTCTTGGGGCTTCCCGCAGGCCCCTGGGGCTTCTCGCGTGACTTTCTCGGAGCCAAGGGGGCCCCAAGACGGGCCAAGAGGGCCCCTATGAGATCCGGAAGATGGTCCAAGAGGGCCCCGAGTCAGGATGCCCAAGAGGCTTCCAAGACGCCTCCAAGAGACAACAATCATTGATTTCCCGAAGGCTTTCGAAGGATTGTGGCGTTCTCGCCTTTTCTGTTTTCCGACGCTCCAAGATGCCCCCATGACCACCCCAAGAGGCCTCCAAGAGGGCCCCAAGACGACATAAGAGCGCCCCAAGACGGCCTGAGAGGCGCCCAAGACGGCGACACAGGGGGCCCAAGAGAGGAAACACGAACCGACAATCCGAGCCTTCCGCCCCAAGAGGCCCCCCATGGAGGCCCCAAGATGCGCCCAAGAGGCCCCAAGAGGCCCCCAAGAGGCTCCCCGAGAGGCTCCCCAAGAGGCCCTACGATGCCCCTAAGAGGCCCGAAAGAGGCTCCAAGAAGCCTTAAGACGGACCCCAAGAGGCCTCAAACTGCCTCCAAGAGGCTCCCGAGATGCCTCCCACGAGATCCCCGCGAACATCCAATAGGCTTCATGACTACAACCCAAGCACGGTGGCGGGACGGGCTGAAAACTATCAGATCCGCCGCCCCCTGTGGTCTTGCCACAGGGGTGCCCGGCGTGCTGGACTTCTTACGGCTTGGATTCGGTTCATTTTGCCAAATAGCTCTTCCCTGGGACTTCGGCCCGTCCCGCCGGCCACTCGAAAAGAACCGCAATCGCGCACAACGTCCGCAACAAGTCTTCCAAGACGGCCTCCAAGATGGCCCAAGATGCCTCCAAGATGACATCCAAGACGACTCAGATGGCCCCAAGATGCCTTCAAGACTGCCCAAGATGCACCCAATCCTGCCCAAGATAAGCCCAGGATAGCCCAAGACTGCACAAGAGGCCTCCAAGAGGTCCTCCAGGAAGGCCCGACGAGGTCAAAGCCATTGGTTTTCCGTAGGGCTTTGACGGATTGTGTAATTTGCGCCTTTTCGGCCTTTGGACGGCCCGAGACGGCCCAAGAGCCCCCAAAGATCTCTCCAAGATGGCCCCCATGACGGCCCAAGACGCCCCTAGACGGCCCCAAGATGGCCCCGAGTCGGCCCAGAGAGGCTCCCAAGACGGCCTCCGACGGGCCAGGAACGGCCATAGAGGCCCTCGAGAAGCCCCCAAAGGCCCCCAAAGGCCCCCAAGAGGCCCAAGGAGGCCCCCAAGATGCCTCCAAGAGGCTCCCCGAGGCTCTCAAGATGCCTCCTTCTCCTCCTCCTCCTCCTCCTCCTCGTCCTCCTCCTCCTGATCTTCCCCGCCATCCTCCCCCAAGTGTTCCCCGAAAGGTTTCCACAACGGCTGGGGGAACACATTGTCCGATGGCTTGGCAGAACTCTTGCCACAACGCACGGCCACATGGGCGATTCCAACATGCAGGGGGCGCCGGTGATTCGTAAGCGTCTTCGATACAGGAACCATTGCTTGCCTCGCGCGCGCTCGAATCCGCCGACCCTGTCGGCGTGTGGGAGAGGCTTTTCCGTCTTCCCCACTGCGTCGTCGCCTCTTCTGCTTTCCGAGGGCTCCCTACACAAGTCCACACAACAATTGAACAACGTCGTCCTTCAGTCGATGGGAAAACCCCATTCCCTTGATTCCTTCCCCGCCGGGGGGGGGGGGTCCCGGGGCAACTCCCATGGGGTGTCCCCCCTCGGATACGCAGCCCCCCGCCTCTCATCCTCCTGCGTCCTGGGGCTCCGTTGGCCCTCCGGGGCCGTCTGCCGGCCCTCTCAGCCTATCTTAAGGCTCCTTGGAGACCCTTCGCCATTTTTAGACTCTCTTGGCAGCCTCTGGCGGCACTCTTGACCGCCTCTGCGGGCGATTTTGGACCTCGCTTGACGCCGTCTTGGAACCCTCTCGGGCCACTTGAGGGCGCTCTTTGCCTATCTTGGCACTCTCTGGAGCAGTTCCCGAACCCTGGAGGAGGCCTCTTGAGCTGGCTTCGGACGACCTTGCAGGCATCTGGCGCCGTGTTCGAGCCATCTGAGGGCTTCTTGGACTCCTCTACCTCCATTGTCTTCGTCGTCGCTGCCTACAGGGTCGGCGGCATCGGCCGTAAGGCCTTCGCAATATTTTACATGTGTTTGAGTCCAGCGCTACAGTGGAGGCCAGTCCACAGGAAATCTTCCTTAAGAAACCCAACCCTGAGACCCCAAGACGTCCATTGATTCTTGGTGTGGGAACGTCACGCTTTCCATGGCAAAACCATCGAAACCCAAGAAACCCAAAGCACCCTGGAGGCGAGCAAAGCGTTTCTTGGCATGGGCCCCACTGTAAACGGGAAGAGAGGATTTCGACACCGGCGCGTTCGTCGCTGGAGGCGCGAATGGGTGCTCGGGTTGGGGCGAGGGGTGCAAAGCTGCATGCAAATAAACATGCGTATAATATTGAACATCGGCCGACTCCCCTCCTCCGTTGTTATCCACCCGCCCCCAAGAGAGCCCCCAAGCGGCCCCAGAGGGCCGTCTTGGAGCTCTCCGGGAGGGGGCCCCCCACGAGGCCCCCAAACAACTTCCCAGAGGCCTCAACACTGCCTCCACGAGGCATCCGAGAGGCCTCCGACGAGATGCCAGCGTACATCCAAGAGGCCTCTCACTCATTACCCATACACGGTGGCGGGGTGGGCCGAAGGCCATTCGCTATAGATTTACCTCTCATACGCACCTCTCAGGACAAGAGCTCAAAAACGATTGTTGGTGGCCCCGTCCCATGCGCACATTTTCGGGCCGTTCCGCTCGGGAAATCCTCGATATTCTGAACATCGGATACGCCCCTCGAGTAGATCGCGACGTCAAGGTCGAAACATACAATGGATGTTCAACGTTTGACAGAAAAATCGTAAACCCTTCAACTCCTCTTCTTCATTATTATCATCGCCACATCGCCCTCTTTCGCCTCAACATCATCCCACTTCTTCTTGCACCGCTCAAGCAACGCCAAGGTTACCACAACATACCAGAACATACGAACCCCACTGTGTCCCAACATAGGTCTCAACAACATGTTCAACAAGACTTTCCAACATCGTGCCCACTCTCCCGCTTCTCCTTGCCTCCCTGACCCTAACAAACCTCACACCGCTCTTCGTCGTCCTCCTGCGCTCTACCGTATTCGGGCAAACCGTGCAACCCAAATTACACTCGCCCTGCCTACTATCTACCTGTCGGGGGTCCGCGGAATGGCGTAAGCCTCATGCGGATATAGTTGGCCCTGTGCGGGCCTTGCCAGAGCCTCCTATGAAACGCCTGTGTAGATGCCACCTGGTCTTAACAGTCAAATCTCGCACAAGATTCCCTGCATTCCGATGTTTTACCTCGGTGCAGATTGATGGCGGACTCGGTGCAGATCTCGGTGCAAAAAATGAGATAGGATGGAAAAATATGTGGATCGGTGCAAAAGGTTGGATACGTGGGGGGAACGTACCAACATATCCAGCCCTTTTGAACACCAGAACACAGCTGTAACGGCGAGCACGGCTTCGCGCTCCTGCCCAATTTCGGCAACTGCGCGCCATCCATCAGGCATGCATGCGCTGAGCTCAGACAAACTCCGGACAAGTATGGCATCAGCACAGGATGCCAGGGGGCCCAAATGGAGAAATCAGAAGATGCGAACGGCTGCCTCAACAACGGCGCCCTTTCTCCCCAAGACTATCCGCGAGGCACAGCGGCGGACCCGCCGTGTGATATGCACTCGGTGCACCTGCTAAGAGCGGAGCCCATCCTCAACCGCGACTGCTTATGCGGCAGACTCGTGTCGTGACGACTCATACGCGGGTATCCGACACCGCGTGGATTGGATTGGTCAACCTTGACCGATCGTAGCTTTCCGACACCCAGAAATGCCCGACATTGGCAACATTCTGGCCGCCAACAGCCTTCAACCTCGATCGCCTGCGCCGGCACCGCCGCCGCGTCGACACGACGCGAACCTAGCGTGCTGCAGCGGCGATGGTTTCGTGCAGCTTTGTCGACGGTTCTGCACCGTCCGTCTGCCTGAGCCCCTTCGCCTGGGAGGCGGCCGCCTCGAAGGGCTCCACCAGCACGCACTTGCCCGCTATCGTCTGCTGCCTGCCCAACTGCACAATGCGCTCGACGATCTCGGGGTCCGCCATGACAACGAAGCCGATGGACCCGGGCCGCCTCCGCCCCAACGGCGCCACCTTCCCCTGGGCGCCGCCCGAACTCACGTTCGAATGCGCGACGAGCATCTTCACGACGCGCCCGATCTTGCCAAAGTGCGACTCCAGAATATCCTTAGAAAACAAATCGGCATCTCCATGCTAGCCAGCGTGGACCCCGAATAATGGGTTCTAGCGTACTTCGTGGTGCAATCTGTGTGGTGCAATCTTTGTGGTGCACACCATGCGGTGCAAACAGTGTGGTGCATTCTACGGGGTGCGGTTCACTTGCCGAACTTGAAGTGGTTGATTCCACTGCTCGCGCAATCATCCCACCCACCGATCCACCCGCAACTTGGTTTGCAAAACCCGTGCGGGAGCGATTGCGATGAGTGCTGGATGTTGGCTGGTGCATCCCTGCGGCCGCGCTAGCCCGCGCATGCTCGCGCGCGCAGCGGCCAGCGAGTTTGGCGCGACCGACGCGAACGCTGACCCTGACCGCTCGGCACATCCCAGCGGGCACTTCAGTGCGAGCCGGCGACTTGGGTGGGCGCGGTACCATCGCAACGTCGACAACGGTAGACACGATGATGATAGTAGCAATGCGGGTGACGGATGCTGACAACGACGACGGGGCAGCCAGTGTCGGCGCCGATGCTGATCACGCCGGCGACGATGACGGCGTCTTCGCGTCGGTGATGAAGGTTCTGGAAGGAGTTCGAAATGCGAGCGCGGCAGCCGCGCGAGAGTGGCCAGCATGGTCTTATTTGACACGGATCGTGCCACCCCAGCACGCGCGCAAGGGCGTTCGAACGCATTCGACATGCGCGCGCGAAGGCCGTTTGGTAGCAGTTTGTGAACATGTTGAAAAACTTGTAGTTTGTCCTAAAGACTTCGCAAGAACGCGCGCGCACGTTTTTGTTGATCATCCGTGTTGCGAACCTCTTTTGTTCTATACATATATACGTGTTTTTTTGGACACTCGATTTTGAAATCCCTTCGACACCGAAGGTTTTTGAAGGATTTCGGCATGCGTGCGCGACGACGCACGCGTGCGCACTTCGTTCCGTGTGTGCAAAGGATTCTTGAACACTTATGATTTTTGATAAACGAGTGTGCGCGCATAGTATTTTTGCAAGGGAACCGAGGGGGGGCCGATACCAGTTTGGCTGGGATAATATGAATTCACAAATCGGATGGACATTGGGTCCAAATCATGTGTTTTGCATCGGTTCCCAGGGGATCGATAAGTCCGGGGGGGGAGGGTGGTAGAACCTATCTCTTTGTTAGACAAGAGAATCCACGTGGTGTGGGCTACGTGGTGTCGACGAGGCAGAGACGGCGGCCACATGGCGGCCAGAGCGGCCCGCAGGCCCAGTCAACGGGCGGCGACGAGGCGGTGACAGCGAGCACATGGCGGCCAGAACGACCCGCAGGTCCAGTTCCGTAGAAGACGAATAAACACACCCAGGTGCAACCACTTTTGGAGGACTTGCGGAGGTCCGCGCGGATGCCTTGGATCATCGCTGGCTCCCTGGCGCGCGCCAGAGTCCGAGCGCCAGAACAAGGAACCCGCCTGGATCTCCGAAGTGTTGTTTAATACAAAACTCGTTTATTCAGAATGAGGGGACCGAACGGCCATTCACTGTCACCGGGTGCGTGGCTGAAGGGGGATTCCGCGGTGCAAATTCTTGAACTCCCATCTCAAAAAAACAATCGCCAGCCCAATGGGCCAAGGGCGTGCTAAGATCTCTGGCGACTGGTTAACAAATTTTCTACCTCGCGCGCGCGGGACCGCCCCTGGGGGTCCCCGGACGAAAAAAAATGCAAATCCGGGCCAACCACCGGCCGGGTCCTGGCCAACCCCCGGCCAGGTCCCAGCCCTAGAGCGCTCCAGAAGCGCTTCAAGTGGCCTCCAAGAGAGCTCAGAATGGTCCGAGACGGTCCGGTCCAAGAGCGATCCAAGGCGCCAGAGATGGCCTCCAGACAGCCCAAAGCGCCTTCAAGATGCCCCAAGAAGACCCCCTGGGGAGAAGCTAATTACCCCGTAAACCATCCCCACGACAATTGCCCCGTAAACCATCCCCACGAATCGCTGTTCGGCCATTGATGTTCGAGATTTCGAGCGATGGAGCTGCGTCCGTGGTTTGACACCATAACATGGATGAACATTACATGCGCAGTTGTGCCAGATTTGCCTGCGTGTGCACGCAGCGATCGTTGGCGCAGTGTCGGATGCCCCGACTGTCGTTGCCCCATGAAAAAGGGGCTCCACTGAAGGCCCCCGAGGCAGCGCGCATGCAGGCAGGGGTCCACTTATGAAGGGGCCCTGGGACACACAAATAAATACACACACGTAAAATGATTCCCCATATTTTCTGGGTTTTTGTCTTCCCGCCCAATTCCCATATTTTCCAATATTTTCCGGGAACTGGACGATTAATTGTGTCTGTGTGTTTCTCTCCCTCCTGAACTTTGGCACCCCCATCTGAAGTATCGTGGCCTCATGGGGACCCCGCCGACGGCCGCAGCGGCGGCGCCCTCGTGCGGACTCGGGGCAAATTTGGCACACCCCTGACGCGCTTCGTGCCCCGATGTCCACCGAAGGCCCCCGTTCGCGCTGCCCCGTGCTCCATCCTGCATGCGGCGCGCGCGCGCGCTACCAGCGAGGAGAGGGCCAGACCCGGAGCGACTCGGAAGTGCAGGCATTCAGTGGGATACGGGGAGAGAGAGGGGGGGAATAGAGAAAGAGAGAGAGAGAGAGAGCGAAAGGGGGAGAGGTAAGACAGAGGGAGGGGGACGGCGAGGGAGGGACTCGTTTCCTTCCTTCCTCCTCCCCCTCCTCCTCCTCCTCCTCCTTCTCCTCGTCTTCCTCCTCCTCCTCCTTTTCCTCCTCCTCCTCTCCTCCTCCTCCTTCTCCTCGTCTTCCTCCTCCTCCTTTTCCTCTTCCTCCTCCTCCTCTCCCTCCTCCTCATCCTTCTTCTCCTCCTCCGCCTCCCCCTCCCGCTGTGAGCTCCACGTGTGGCCCTCCTCCTCCTCCTCCTCCTCCTCCTCCTCCATGCTCCCGCTGTGGGCTCCCGAAGGGGGCGCTCTCTGTCCTCTTCCATGTGTTTGTTCTCGAACCTTTTTTCTGCATCGTCTCCTCCCCACTCTTGTTGTCCTCTCTTCCCTTGTTTTACGGGCTGCAGGAAATACGCGTGGCAATAAGGAAGATATGCCCCCAAGGGGATACGATCGAAGACGACGAGGGCGAATATCGAGGGTTTGGGATATACGTATTGATTGGCACGTGAGCAGATAGGAGCGAGCAATGTTAAAATGACTGTTGAATTCTCATTTCTGAAGAATAATTATTGTCGATCCCCCCCCACTGGTGCATACAGGGTCTGGCCAGCGCCGGTGGTTCCTTCAGCCGCGTGTCTAGGACAAGAAATTTCGAGACTCTGGCTGCAAAGCTGTGTTTTCTTAAACATCGAGCGTGGTGTACTGTTTTCTGAATCAAACTATGCTCCTCGACGCTCGCACCGTGTTTTTTGACAGGGAAGGTCTTCCTGCTCAAGCTGGGCCCCTGGCCCCCGGGTTGCAACAACAACGGCTCCCGCCTGAGACTTCCTTACAATTTAGCCAGGACCCCCGCTCCCGCCCTCCTCGCATTTTCCTCAGGAATCGCGCTCTCGCTTGGGACTTCCTTACAATTTATTCAGGAATCGCTCTTTCATGGCTCTGGAATCGCGCTCTCGCTGGAGACTTGCTTGCAACTTACTGAAGAATGGCCTTGCGTTGGGATTTCCTGCAATTTGCCCAAGCGCCGCGCTCCCGACACCCAGGCACCCAGGAGTCGCGCCCGTTGTGGCCCCATGTGCATGCCCTTCGTGGCCCCGCTGTCGCCATTTGTGTCCCCCTCACTATCCTACGTGGCCCAGTTGCTACCCTCAGTGGCCCCATAGTTGCCTTCTGTGGCCCCGCATTATCTGCACTTCGTGGCCCCCGCTCGTTCGCGCTCTTCGTGGCCCCATACGCATTCCCTTCGTGTCCCCGCTGTCGCCCTTCGTGGCCTACTTCGTGCCCTTCGTGGCCCTGCTGTCGTTCTCTCTCGCTCTCGCTTTCGCTCGTCGTCGCCGTCGTCGTCGTCGCCGTCGTCTTCGACGACGTCGTCGTCGTCGTCGTCGTCGTCGTCGTCGTGGTCGGTCCCCTGTCCGTCCCTCTTAGGGTCGGGTCGACGGTCCGCGGCCGCCCCGCCGATCAGCGCTGCCGCTGGCCAGGCCGACGGTCCGCGGCCGCCCCGCCGCTTGCCGGGGCCCGGCCTGCAGGGAAGAAAGGTATACCCCCCAAAAGGGGTTCACTCGAGCATCAAAAGGCGAACAATCTTATAACTATTGTTGTTGAACATTATTAATTCTAAAAAACAATTATTGTTGGGACCCCTGGTGCACGGCCCCCCTGCGCCGCCTAGGCCGCAGCTACATTTTCATCATTTTCGTGAGGAAGCCTCAGGTAATACGATGTCATCAAGATCCGGTTGTTTTGTTGTAATCCGTTTTCCCTTGCAAAAAACACTATAAAATGACATTTCTTGTTCTAATATAATCAAATTTCAAGAATCCCTTGCAAAAAATAAGGTAAAGTGGACATTCGCGCGCGCAAGACGAAATCCTTCCAAAAGCTTAGTGTTCGGAGCGATTTTAACATAAAAACATCAAAAAACCAATGGTTTTTCAACAAAAAAATGTCAAAATCTCATCCCGCGCGCTCTTGCGGATTCGTAGGAAACCCAACACTTTTTAAACATTTCTGTCAAACGGGCTTTTGCGAGCAACTTTTTCGAACTTCTGCGACAACGGTTGCGCACCTGCCAGGGCCATCATCCCTGTCAAATAATACCATGCGGGACACATTCGTTTTTTCTTCGCGCGCGCACGCCGAAATCTCCAAAAACCATTGGGTTTTTAAGAATTTTAGCACCGCGCATCATAAAATCACACGAATCGCACCGAAACAACTTCTGTGGGTTAACAAGGCTTAACAACTTCTGTGGGTGTACGAACGTAGGCTTAACAACTTCTGTGGGTGTGTACTCCACGCCAGTGTAGTAGCCACGGTCGTCCGCAGGCCACGAAGTGAAGTGTCCGAACGTCATAGGGCGGGAAGCTGGGTGTGGGTGGTGGCGAAGAGTCGTGTGGATATTTGGTAGAGCTTGCACTGCCCCCCCACAAAGTGGGGGTATTGGCTGGCGTCGCATGAAAACCCTGGCACTGGTGAGAACACTGAGCGTTCGGGTAAAGTGATTGTTGTTGTTGTTGTTGTTGTTGTTGTTGTTGTTGCGTTGCATTGCTGTCATCGCCCCCCCCGCGACCCCCCCGCGAACCATGCCGCGACCCACTCGGCGCCCGCACCCTCTCGGGCGGGTGCTAATGGGGGGTGAAGAAGAAGGCCCTAAAAGGGCCGTTTAGGGCTCCTTTTGGGCACCAGCTGGCTCCACAAAGGGGCCCTAATGAGCTCCTGTAGGGCCTCCTTCTTCACCACCCGTTTGGATCACCCCCCGTTTACCCGCCCGACTCACTCTTGACCGCAATTCCGGGGTGCTGTATATTTTTCTTCTGCGCATCCTGGGACCCAAAGCCCAGCGCGTTGAGCCGCCGCACGACGAACACGCACTGGGGGTCCTCACCATGCAAGATCTTCACGTGGCTGGTGAGCGTGCTGCCCTGCGCATAGCATGGGGGAGACGTAGGACTCGAATGCGGGGGACTCGGGTTGGCCTGACGGGGCAATCATGACAATGACAAGACCCAATCTGAAATTTGACGCGAGCTCCCGCTGCAAGCATCCCACGAAAACAGGACCGTCAAAATCCAGGACGCGCTCGTCGAAAACCGTCGGCTATCCCGAGTCCGGGCGTACCCGAGTCTTACGTTTCCCCGACAGGAGGACGGGGAAGGAACACATGTCGGAGGTGGGCCAGTCGAGACAGAGGCGGCTTCGGTGGCAGCTCATGGGAGCCTCCCGTGCCATCTTGCTGGCTCTTGCGACTCGGCGTTGACCGACGCCAGTCGATACGACACAGACGCACATCTGCGCTAACTCGTCGCCACTCGGCGCCACATCGGCGATTCCGCCTCGACTGCCGGACGCTGGCGCACGCTGGTGCACTCGAAAGACGGCACGGCGAGCACACACGAGGCCCCTACGATTCGCTGCCGAAGTCGGCCCTCCCTCGCGCTCGTCGCCCGTTGTCGGCCTCCTGGCGGCTCGTCGTCGCCGCAGCTGGATCCGCCTCGAAAGACGGGCCAAGCTGAAGGGGCCCCAGGACACACAAATAAATACACACAAATAAAACTATTCCCTATATTTTCCCATATTTTCTGGGTTTCTGTCTTCCCCCCCACTTCCCATATTTTCCCACATTTTCCTGGGAAATCGAAGATTCAATTGTGTCTGTGTGCTTCTCTTCCTCCTGAACCGGGAGGGGCCCATGGGGCAAATCTCGAGCGGGCCGGGCTGGGAGCACCGCCTCTGCCTCAACCCGCCCTCCTCCGGACGCAAAGCGCAACAGCGTCGGCGGAGCGCCGGGCGGCAGAGGTCCTCTGGCGCCAGCCCCCCCCCCTTGAGGGGCAACGAGAAGGGGGGGGATAGGGATAGGGGGGGGAAACATCGACCTGGAATCGGATATGTATATATATATATATATATATATCGCCGATAGACCGGCGACAAGTCCCCGATCGTGAATCTGCACGTTCCAATGCCGGTTGGGGCTGTCGGGCCCCTGTCGGCGAGCAATGGGCGATTTGGGGGGGTCGATGCATCCCCCCTACAGTCATTTCGCATAGTAAGGATGCACGATAAGGATGCAAGGGCCTTGGAAGGCCGTTTAGAAGCTTTTCGAGCGGGGCGCGGCCAACGAAAGTGGCTTCAGGATGGACCGAGGCCGCAAGGACGCAAGGGTACCCCTGGGAAAGCTGCCCATCCTGACCATGCGGGTTGACTGTATGCCTATCCCCCCCCCATTGTTGTCCCTGACTCCTCTCGGGGGCGGCCAAGAGGGGAACGTCCTAGAGGGGGGGGGCGCAAATCATGGCTGGCGGCATGTGCGCGGCCCGGGGGGGGGGAACGTAAGCAAGAAGAGGCGTCATGACATCTGGGGAAATATCATGGCGCACGCCATCATATCCACGATCCATGAATCTGGCGCGCGGTCGCCAAATCCATGGATCGGGGGAAGTGGCGGCTGGTGCCGCCTCGCTTGGCGGCGAGAATCCGCGATTTCCCATTGAAACGGGACCCGCCGCTAGTCCACTGTTGGCGATCGCCTGAGAAGCAGGTCTCTGGCGAGCCCTGGGGAAAGTGAGAAAGGGCGGGCCTTCTCAGAATCGACGAACGCGTTCCACTACTCCCAAAGTGCCTACTCGCAAACGGCCTGGATCCCCCGCGGGGGATCTACGATAAATTACATCAAAGCGGACAAATGTTTTTCCGGACGTTTGCGAGAAGCCACTTTGCGAGAAGTGGAACGCGCTCGGTGACAGAAGGCTCGGAAGGCCTCGGGCTTTCCGAGAAGCTTCCTGAGCCTCCCCCGTCGACGCGGGGAACTTTCCCAAAAGGCCGGAGGCCTCCTGAGAAGCTCCGCCGCCTTCTGAGCAGGCCTCCCCCGCCTCGCTCCCCCCCCCTCGCACGCCGCCGAGGGAGGCCGGAGGCACGAGGCGCGCGGCGCAGGCCACGACGGGTGCCCATCGGACGCTTGGCAGGGCCGATGTAACGTGGGGCGCAGGATCCGCAGTGGCGACGATCAAGACCGCGTCCTGCACAAGATGGCGCAGCGACCATTCGCGGTGGCTTTGCGCGGGCCGCCAGCGCGGCACGCCACTCTGGAGACAAAGGGCGCTGACGCGCGAACTTGCGCGGGCAGCTTGCGCGCCAATGTCGGCGCAAACGACCCCGTTTTTTTGCGTCGCTCACATGCTGATGCTGTGCGCCCGCCGCGGAGGCACACGTCCGAGACAAACCTATAGCATAAACGTCCAAAGCATACCGTCACCCCGGCGGTACAGCAGAAACCTTCTACAAGAAACCCAACCCTGAGACCCCAGGACGTCCAGTGATTCTTGGCGTGGAACGCCACGCTTTCCATGGCAAAACCATCGAAACCAAAGACACCCAGGGCACCCTGGAGGCAGCCAGGGTGTTTCTTGGCATGGGTCTCCACTGTAGCACAAGCGTCTCAAAGCATACAGCCGCCCCGGATGTGTAGCGAGACCGTGCCCCTCGCCCCTGGGGGCCGACGCACACACACAGCACCAGCAGGGGCGGGTGATGCTTATGCTTACCATGCTCCACTGGAACCCGTTTCGTTGTTACAGAGGCTAGTCCACAAGAAGCCCAGGCCGCTTCTTGACTTCTGGTGCGGGGGCGTCACGCTTCCCATGGCACCACCATCGACACCCAAGACACCCAGGGCACCCTGGAGGCGAGCAGGGTGTCTCTTGGCATGGGCCCCCTCTGTACTTGCGATCACGCCCGTGACCGGCCCCGCCCTCCCCCCTCCTCCCCCGCCCGGTCACGTCACGGTTCGCGCGGGCGCCGTCTGGGAATCAGCCATTCCTGCAGACGCCGCTGGCGCGAATCGCGACGTGAGCGCTCCCCTGCCCACCCTCCTCCCCCTCCTCCCCCGGTCACGCCCGTTACCGCCAGGGGGTACAAAACTTGCTCCTCCGTGTGCTTTCTCTGGCCTCCGACCTGCTGAAGCGTCTCTTGAGGGCACATCCTTTGCTTCCGCCGGCTTCCGCCAGCCTTCTGCCGCCTTCCGCAGAGGAGGAGGTGCCAATTTCTAGGACTCCCCGAAGGTGAGCACCTGTCTGGAACGCCTCATGTGCGGATGAAACCACCGATGCTGATCAAGCTTGACTGTACGCTCCGTGTGCTTTTTCTGGCCTCCGACCTGCTGAAGCATCCCCTCCGCGCCACAGCCCAGGCCGCCCCTGTCGGCGACTCCGAAAGGTTCTGTTTGCACAGGGTGTGGCCTGCAACTGGCACCCCTGGGGGCACCCTGGGGGGCGGGCGAGGACCTCGAAGGAGCTCTCCGCCGTGCCCCGAGGAGGCCCGACACGAGGGCAGGGTCGTGCTCCCCAGGCCCCAACGGCGCCGATCGCAAGCCACACCCCGGCGTCACCTTACCCCCTGTCCCTGAGGCCCGACTTTGCAAAAGAAATGCAGCACCGCAACAAAAGCACGAACAGACCCCCCGACCCAATCTTTCCGCGCCAATTTTCGAGCTGGATCGATCTGTGACGGCTCCGTGGCCCAGAATCGAGCGAAAAGAGCCTCGGGGCCCGAAGTTAAGCGAAAACGCCCAGCTCGAACAAAAATGCCCAGACCCCGACGTCATGATTTTTTCGTGACGTCGACCTGAAAAGGTCCCGACCCTTTCCCCATGACCGGCTTTTCCTCCTGAATTATTTGACGGTCCCGAGGCCCGGCAGGGGCTCCCAGAGGCAGAGAATAGTATAAAACCTCCCGTCGTGATTTTTTGACGACTCGAGGGGGTCTGGCTGAGTCGCCACAATCTCAGGGGCAGTCGCGTCCCCTGGGCTTAGGTCGGGCATGTCCTCCTACAGGCAGGGTTTGGGATAATTAACTTGTTTTGAGCGATCCCTACTGAAACCCTAAGCGTTTCTTCCCGAGGGCGCGCGGTCGCTTCATTAGTCGACAACTGCCGTGTCTGGATTCGAAAACAAACGGTTCAACCGTGTTCCATGTAGTCACGTTCTGTAATGTTGTGCTCTATTAAGCCCTGTTATGTTCTCGACGGGCTGGCGTGACGTTGTGACGCCTGTGACTTTAGATGCGTCGTCTGTTATGATGTTCATCTTCACTTTTTGTTCTCTCTTCTGCTTGAATAGGTTATGTTATGCTCATCTCAAAGGCAATGTAATATGAGACATTATGGTATACGTTGCTCTGTGACACTATGTTTTAACATGGTATGTTCTGGCAAATGTATGATCGTGTGCTTTGTTCCGTGATGCTGCTGTCAGCTCGGCCCAGCACAATATTTTGATAGCTACTCTAGTATGGCTCGCTGTACTTTGCTGTCACGTAGTGGTATCTAATGAGATGGTGCCATACTCTGATCTGCTATGGTCTGCCATGGTGTGTTATGTTAAACTTGGTTAGGTTCTGTCATATTGAGTTGTGTCGTCTTCTGCTCTGACATGTTCTGCCCTGGGATGTTATGTGATGTTACGTTTGTTGGCAGCTCGGCTCTGCATAGTATATAATTATGAGCTCTGCTAGTGTGTGTCGCTATGGTCTGCTGTCTCGTTATGATATGTTCTGTGATACAGTGACATGATACGTTATGTCATGTCAATGTGTGTTATGTTATGCTCGATTATGTTCTGCCATTATGTGTTCTGTCATGTTCTGCTCTGGTATGCTATGTGATGTTCTGTTATGCCCTGTTTTGTCATGGCATTGCTATGTTCTTTTCTGCAATGTTCTGTCATGCTCGAGCTCTGTCTGTCATGTTCAGTTGTGTCATGTTGTGTTCTGGCGTGCTCGACGTCGCTATGCTCTGCTATCGTCTTATGCTCTGTTCTGTTAAGTTGTGTTCTGCCATCTTCTGTTATGTCATTTTCTGCGCTGGTATGTTTTGTGATGTTCTGGTATGCTTTCTTTTGTCATGGCATTGCTATGTCCTGTTCTGTGATGCTCTGTCATGCTCGTGCTCTGTTCTGCTGTGTCATGTTGTATCATGTCGTGTTCGTCGTCGCTATGCTGTGCTCTCGCGTTGTCAGATGTTCTGTGATTCGGTGTCGTGATATGATATGTCATGTCAAGGTGTTCGATGTTAGGCTCGGTTAGGTTCTCTTAAGGTGTGCTCTGATGTCTTCTATTCTGCCATGCTCTGTCCTGGTATGTTCTGTGATGTTCTGTTTGTTGACGGCTCGGTTCTCTGTAGTCTAGTATGATATGCTTTGCTATTATGTGTCGCTATGCTCTGCTCTCGTGTGAACGATCTGTCCTGTGATACTGTGTCATGCAGTGATATGCTATGTAAAGGTGTCTTATCTTACGCTCGGTGGTCTGCTATATTGTCTAATGTCGTCTTATGTTCTGCCACGTTACGCTCTAGTATCTTCTGTGATCTCATCTAGAGCTTTCTTTTGACATGACACTGCTATGTTTTGTTCTGCGGTGCTCTGTCATGCTCGTGTTCTGTTATCCTGTGTCATGGTGTGTTCTGTCGTGTTCGTCGACGCTATGCTGTGCTCTTGTGTTATGAGATGTTCTGTGCTTCGGTGTCATGGTATGATCTGTTCTGTCAAGGTGTGTTCTGTTAGGCTTGGTTATGTTCTCTTAGGGTGTGCTCTGTCGTCTTCTATTCTGCCATGTTCTGCTCTGGTATGTTTTGTGATGTTCTGATTATTGACGGCTCGGCTCTGTATAGTATGTTATTATCTGCTCTGCTAGTATGTGTCGCCATGCTCTGCTGTAGTGTTGTGATCTGTTCCGTGATGCTATGTCATGATATGTTATGTTATGTCAAGGTGTGTTATGGCTCGGTTTTATTACGTTCTGATGTGTTATGTCGTCTTCTGTTCTGTGACGTTCTGCTATGGTATGGTATATGATGTTATGCTACTCTCTATTGTGTCATGTCATTGCTATGATGTGTTATGTAATTTTCTATCATGCTCGTCCTCTGTTCTATCATGCTCTGTTGTGTCATGTTGTGTTCTGTCGTGTTCGTCATCGCTATGTTCTGCTGCCGTGTTATGAGATGTTCTGTGATTCGGCGTCATGATATGACATGTTCTGTCAAGGTGTGTTCCGTTATGCTTGGTTCTGTTATGTCATGCTGTGTTCTGTCGTGCTCGTCGGGGGCGCGTGCCGGGATCATCGGGACAACTTGGGGTCTGGCGGCCGCGGTTTGCAAGGTGGGGTTGGCTTGGCGCGAGGCGGGACACCCGGGATACTCGGGACACTCGGGACAACTTGGGGTCTGGCGGCCGCGGTATGCAGGGTGGAGTTGGCCGGGCGCGAGGCGGGACACCCAGGATACTCGGGACACTCAGGACAACTTGGAATCTGGCGGCCGCGGTATGCAGGGTGGGGTTGGCCGGGCGCGAGGCGGGACACCCGGGATACTCGGGATACTCGGGAGAACTTAGGGTCTGGCGGCCGCGGCATGCAGGGTGAGGTTGGCGGCCTGTTTTTGAAATCTATCACTGCCCACCTGTCAGGTGGGGAAAACATGAAAAGAGTGTAGACATAATCGAAAGTAGTCAGACAGGCATGAAAAAACGTAACCATATTATTTTAAAGCTATTCTTGAATCTTCCTTCTGAGAAAGGACCTGCTCATTGCACTGACCTTGCAGACGTGCTGCAGCGGATTTTTGCATGGATTTCAGTCAGCGCAAAATCCCGAAAGAGCGAGCGAAAAACGACGTGAACTCCACGTAGATATTTGTTTATACTTCATTCCTGACCCCAAACAAATCAGCACGAAATTCACCTCGAAATCTGGAGCGAAACTCTCCAGGACAGTCCAGGCCCATCCCAATGTTTCCCGAACGAAATCTGCTCTGCGATGTCGGCACCATGAACCTGCCCGGATCGATTCGGGATCCACCAAATGGGGGGGGACCCCGAGGGGGGGATGAGTTCGATCCGCTGGTGCATCGAATTTCCGAAAAACGATGCAACCCGCGCGCCCCGATTGCCGACACCTCTCGGGTTCCGGCGGCGGCCGGGGGCCTCATCCTGCATCGCTTGTGGGCGGCTCGGTGCGTGAACGCACCGAACTCCCCCCCCCTGTAGCCCCCCCTGGGGCGGAGAAGCAGGAGGCGGAGGAGGAGGAGGAGGAGGAGGAGGAGGAGGAGGAGAGGAGGAGGAGGAGGGAGGAGGAGGAGGAGAGGAGGGAGGAGGAGGAGGAGGAGGAGGAGCAAGAGGAGGAGGAGGAGGAGAGGAGGAGGAGGAGGAGGAGGAGGAGGAGGAGGAGGAGGAGGAGGAGGAGGAGGAGGAGGAGGAGGAGAGGAGGACAAGGAGGACAAGGAGGAGGAGGAAAACGGTCCCGATGAATCTCAGGGGCAGTCGCCGCCCCTGGGCCTCTCCCGCGCCGCCGCCCGAGGCGAGGCGCGCGCCGTGGCTCCCGGCGGCCGAGCGCGCCCCTGCAGAGCTCGCGGCCGCCGCCCGGCGCCCCCGCGGAGCTCCAGGGGCGGGTGCGGTCGGGGGCCCTCACGGGCGGCGCGCAGACTCCGTTCTCCTCGTCCTCCTCCTCCTCCTCGTCCTCCTCCTCCTCCTCGTCCTCCTCCTCCTCGTCCTCCTCGTCCTCCTCGTCCTCCTCGTCCTCCTCCTTCCTCCTCCTCCTCCTCCTGTCCTCCTCCTTCTCCTCCTCCTCCTCCTCGTCCTCCTCCTCTTGTCTCCTCCTTCTCCTCCTCCTCCTCCTCATCCACCACCTCCACCTCCCCCTCCTCTTCCTCTTCTTCCTCTTCCTCCTCCTCCTCCTCCTCCTCCTCCTCCTCCTCCTCCTCCCCCTCCTCCTCCTCATGGCTCGGACGTCAATTCCCCCGTTGCATTTTTCCGCCTTCGTGCGTGCATTCTTCGCAAGGTGTTCCAGAATGTGCCTCGATGGCCCGCGCCCCCCCAAAATGCACACGTCCGAGCGATGCCAAAGCAGAGGGGGGATGGGGCAGGGCGAGGGGGGGCGCACAGTCGGACCTTGGCCGGAAGAACAGCCCTCAAGAGCGCGGGGCCTCCCGTCGGCCGAAACGAGCACAAGATCCGACGGTGCCCTCTTCAGGGTGCACAAGAACATCCAAGAAGCACGGAGAACAGTAGGGTACCCTCCCCGAACCGATCTCGATCTCATACCTCGGTCCGGCTGTATAGCGAGGGGGGGCGCGGCCTTCTGTACGAGGACAGTGACCATGCACCGTACCGTGTCTGGACTCCCGTTCTCGCATGCGCTCTACAACACAAGGGCATCCCCGCGCCAGCTTACTTCGACTGTCTGAACGGGCTCCCTCTTGTCCCCCCTCTCGCTGCTTTCCGCTTCGCTTTCGTGCCTCAGCTCGCCTCCAGTGCACCCCACCGCTTGCTGACCGGCACCTGACTGTCTGGGACCACTCGGCGCCCGCGGACGGAAAAAGCTCGGACTCCCTTCGGGCCCAACTTCAGCACGATCTTGAAGTCCCGAAACGGTGCGGTGACAGACCGTGCGGTGACCTCGGAACCCCCCCAAGAGACCTCACCGCACTGTCCGTCAACGCACGGTCTTGGGACCCTGGAGGCCCCTGTGACCCCGAATCTAGGGGAACAAAAAGTGACATAAACATAAAAACTCGGAGGTCCGCGCGGATTTCTCGGATCGGCGCTGGACCCCCCTCCCTGGCGCGCGGAGCGCGCCAGGCGCGGCGCCGGAGGCGCCGCCAGGGGGCCCCAGCGCCGATCCGAGAAATCCGCGCGGACCTCCGAGTTTTTATGTTTATGCCGCTTTTTGTTCCCCTGCTGTGACCCCGAATCCCCACCGACTCACCGCACGGTGTGGTCACCACCCCGTCTGGGGACCCCCGAGCGATGCACCCTGGGTCTCTGGGAGCCGGGGGACCCAGAGGACGCGCCGGGCGCCGCGGCCAAGTGAGGACCTGACCGGTGGCAGGTGGGCAGGCCAGCTCAGCGAGCCGCAGCTGAATCCACGAATGTCCAACCGAAGGCCTACATTTAGGTCGGGCCCGTCCCCCCATGAAGGCGGATCTGGGGCGAAAGATTCAACAGACTAAGAAAATACTCCCCGAATGCTTGAAAATAGTCAAAACATAGTCCCCATACTATTTTTGGACTATTTTTGAAGATTCCTCCTGTAGAGGGACAGGCCCGACTTCAGCCTACATTCGAGGAGGTATAAGACTCGGGTTCGGGGGACTCGGGCAAATGACGAGGCCTAGTCTGAAATCTGACGCGAGCGCCCCCCTGCAAGCACCCCACGAACACTGGAACTTCAAATTCCAGAATGGACTCGTCGAAAAGCGTCGGCAAGCCCGAGTTCCGGCACACCCGAGTCTTACGTTCCGCCGATGCATCCATCCATGTTGGGGTCCGGGCCGGGACTTTTTACACGGCGACCCCCCTCGCAAGAAGTGCCTTTGTGCGGGCCGCCGACCTTGGCCGGGGGCTCGGAGGTCGCCCGCTGGCAGCCCGGCGGGTGTCTCTCGTCGATGCTGTACGCCTCAAGGAACGTGTTCCTCACGCGCAGCGCGAGCTCTTCGCCCGTGCCTGGAGAAACGGGCCCAGCACAAACATACAGGGCAGTTTTTCATACATAGGATTTTTGGAGAATATTGGATTTTCAATATAAGATTAATTTATGAATATATTTATGCATGACCTCATCGTTGTTTTTAATGCTAAATCCCTGCATTTATAATACATGATCCGCACGCGGAGCATGTATTAAAAACGGCACTGTGCACCTGCGGAGGTCCGCGCGCCCAGTTCCGCTCCAGGAGGGCCGCGCGGATCTCCGACAGTTTGTTAGAAGGCAGAAGAAGACCACCCCCAGACTAAGCCCCCAGACAAGACGAAGCCCCGTATTCAAACGCAGCCGTGGAAGGAATCGGACAGAGCAGGGCTGTCCTGCAAGCGTCCAGGACTGTCTAGAGACGCCTCCCACATGGGGTCCGAATGGATGGTGTCGGAGCATCGCGCCACATCGGCGATAAATCGCCGATGCACCGGCGACGTCGGCGATACATCGGCGCCGTCGGCGGGGAGATAATCGGGCTCCACATCGAGCCGCATCGCCGACGATCCTTTGACCCCATCCACTCCGACCCCATTTGGGAGACCTAGAAAGCTTAGCAAAAACGCGTCCCGAGAAACAAAAACGAGCAGAGCAGGGCGGCTATGCAAACGCCCAGGACTGTTTAGCAAACGCCCCTTCTGGGGGTCGGGGTCATCCTTCCTGCCCTCATTTGCGTTGACGCATTTCTGTTCCCTCGAGCACCGTCGCGGGCGGCAGCCGACCGCGTGCGTGCGCTGCCAAGGCCTGGACGGGGACCGATA